TATAGGCCTCTCCTTAGAAAGGTGGTTTTGGCCTACTATACCACGCTGGCCAGACGGGTCGGTATAGGGTTTGTTTCAAGTTTTCCTTCTCTTTGCAGTGCTGTTGTCCTTCGTAGTTTGCTCCATTAGTCGGCTCTTACGACAACCACGTGATAAATAGGGGCGGCGACATTTCGTATTCTTAAATCGGCCCCACACGGATGACCATATCTTCTATGGAATCCACTATTGAGTAATAGGCTCTCCGACACAATTCACGTTTAATTGCGGATTTAAATTTTGTTATCATTTAAGTATTGCATATCATTTGGGATTTTATTATAAAATGGGACACATTGACCTCGTCTTCACATTGTCTACTTGATAATTTATCAATATGTGGGCCCCACTGTAGCTTAGAATCTAGTGTTACACCTATGAATGTCGTAGTATCCACAAGGTCCAACTCAACATCTTAAATCATTACAGTAGTTTTCACTGGCTTGACGATTGGCATAGTGAAACGTTTACACTTATTTTTTCGTTCATTTAAAAGCAGATTATTAACGTCAAACCAATGAACCACTTTTAAAATGGCGCTGTTTACGTCTGTTAAATTAGTAAGTGTCCGTTTAGTCTAAATAGTAGTGATGTATCATCTGCAAACAAGATAATCTCGGGATTCTCAGTCGTTTATATATACTAAAAACAGACATCCTCCCAGGCATCAAACTTTGCTTTCATCAAACTGCATCGACATTAGTCGCAGATGAACTCTTCTACTCCAAAACAAACACAGACATGTCTTTAGGTATACGAAATTCCGATACAAAAATTACAGCCATCAGTAGCGAACGCTGTAGGCTTAGTCAAATATAAAACTCGTCTGATATTTTTTTATCCTCTTTTTTATACGAAATTATAAAATACTGTTGTGGGATTTAATTATGTCCCTGGGTTCCTTTGTGCATATTTTGTTGGCCTCATTTCCTTTGTAATATTCAGGTTAATTTACACATGAAATCTTCCGCGTTGGGAATATTTACTGTAAAGACAGTCGAGTGGCAATCTAAACCCGTCAGGATGTTCTTTTCTTGAGTCCCCATCGTGTACGAACTAGTTATGTTTATTATTTTCGGAATACCGACACCATAAAATACACTTTCTAGAAAATAAAGATAATAACATCGTTGCTAATTGACAGGCATTCGCAAATAGATTCAAAATGGAAAGTTAACATAAATCAGGTATATAGTGAAAGTCCAAAAAAAGCAGAAAAAACATACATAGACCTTGGTCTATGTATGTTTTTTCTGCTTTTTTTGGACTTATTCTAATAGTTTGCCTTATTCTAATAGTTTGTCATAAATTAGGATTGGACTGGCCGAAAACTCTAAGGTGTTTTTATTATCTGTGAGGGCTTCGATCTAAATATCTCAAACTCGTCAATCCTTTTATTAAGTCATTCACTGATCTACTTGAACGAATAATGAATGAGTTCTGTCGGTAATTAGTGTTGGTTCGAGGTAATGCTATGGGGTTGATTACGCCGAACTGGTATTCTTCGCGGTACCGAAAATTTAATTTTATCAAGTAAGGCCGAGCCATCAACATTACAATTATCAATTTTCAGAAGTGTCTGTTCTGTCTTTTCTGCGGCTTGTATTTTTCTCACCAGAATAACTATTCATCTACTGATGTGAAAATTTACTAGTTCTATAAAATAACAATAGCCTAAAGAAAAGAATTAAAGAACTTCAAGAAATATGAACAAATGCTTTAAAAGGTAAAAATAATTAATCACAAACTTCAATAAAAAATAGACAAATACATGTGATGCTTTACATTTCATAGGTAACATTATAAAGGCATTAGGGCCCTTCTGATCTGTTTGAAGATCTGTCTTTGGTCTAGTGGTTAGTAACCCTGACTGCTAAGCCAGAGGTCGTGTGTTCGATTCCACCCAGGACAAGTAATTGTGTGTTGAGAACGGTCATTTAATTTTGTTCTGTGTCTGGGTGTAATTTAGTAATATAATATAATATTTTAAATTTAACATGTACGTTTTTAGAAATACTCGTATAAAAGTATGTTTATCAGTATAGTACAGGCTCTGCCTAGTTTAGGATCAGACTGTCTGATGATATTAACTTAGGAGTCCATTAGAGTGTTGTGTGTGCACTCCCTATCAGAGTAACCCATATTATTATTTTTAATGCACATTTATTACTATAAGACGAATGACCAAGGCGTCCTTCTTAAATCCTTTTCACTTAAAGGTAATAAATAATATAAACAAATCATACCCCGATTACATTTATATTTAGGCACACTTAATTTCCCCGATTGAGGTTTTCTGTCATTCTGACACATTTTCAAGTCTCTAGAATTAAAAAGCAGGAATCACATTAAATTTACAAGAAACTGGCTTACACTGAATAAAAATGAATTTATGCTTAACAAATTATAATGAATTCCTTATTATTTTAGAAATTTATATATCTTACAGTGTCAGGAATATTGTTAAGAAATCAAAATTTACTTTTTTCAGATTCAACAAAAATGCCGTAATTACAAATTAATTATGACAAGAAATTAGCTTTGAGACTAAAAGATTTATTTAGTCTTGCAATACTTAATAGTCTATTCAGGTATATTGTATTATACAAAGGCCATTTAATTTATATTGAAAGTCGTCGCTAATTTTCAATCTCGGTTTTCTCTCTATTTAGATTTTTTTACCTTTTACATTCGACTACTTTTCGTTTTGTTGATCTTGGTTAAATAAGATCACGAATTGGTCTTTAGATGGATCACAATTTCTAAAGAAATTTTGATTAATCTACGTCGTATTAGATTTTAATTAAAATTATCATTATTGTGTTTGTTAGAACATCTTTAAGCGTTTCTTCACGTCGGTCCATAAATTGTTAAGTCATTTGGTTCTGATTTCAAAATTTATGTTGAAATCAGAAACAAATGGATTTAATAAACTATGGATGCTTGAATCAATTAATGGACCTCAATCAAGATACATTGTGCTAAGCTGTATTTATCAATTCCTATTTTACTCTCTCAAATATTTTCTTCAATTTATTTCGAACAACGTATGTGTGTAACTTCAATTCAATTTGTAAAAGTATTATATAAGTCAACACGTGACAAGTGACTAAGACAGTGCGTAACATACAAATAAAAGAAAGAAAGATCAGTCGAATTTCAAACCTCCTTATTATGATTAATATTATTCCTCCATAAATATTTATGTATGTTTATTAATTGTTTGTATTCTAATTTCTCACAAAATGTTAATTATTTTTTGTATTTGATTTCATTTAACTCGTTTCTTCTCGTGTTTCAAATTTAACCACCAAAGCACCTAAATAAAAATATTTGTACACCAGAAATGGTAGAATGTAAGAAACGAATGAATATAAATAACACCGAATGAACTATGTTCTAACAAATAAATTTGATAAATAAAATAAAAACTGATTGTTTATGTGTATCCAAGGATAATAACGCGCTAAAAGAGATGCTATTAATTTTGTCTGCTAAAAATGGGGAAATATAATAAAGCATGTTAAAACACACATGACGTAACTATAATACGTACATTCCGTTAGCGTGCCGGCGGAAGAACGTGCCGATTATGGAGTCACACACTAAGGGGTCGTATACCTTACAGAAGTTGAAGAAGAAACAAATGAACATAAATGAAATGAAAGTCAGAATAATGTTAAAACAACGCGGTAAGTAGCGTTAGATACCAGTGATAGAGATTTCTAAACATTTATGATTTTAGCCACGGTTGCAGTGTGGTTCTGTCAGGCCGGAGAACTATGAGTGAGTTTAAGAATTAAGTACGTCTCTCTAAGTCCTGTGATATATTTATAAAGGTCCATACTATCATATTATTTTTTAAATATCGTTATCTACAGATTAAATAGCTTCAAAATATTAATTTGGAATTAATTGGACTATTACATACAATGTTATTTAGTTATTAGCATTAATACTCATGTACCATAATTATACTGTTTAAGGGCTATCTTGTTCGTAAATAAAAATAACACGATTATATTTGTAATGTGATTTAAATAAAGTACCTTAATTTACTATCCTGTAAACAGCCGGATTCCTGCTCACTATCCAGTATCCGGCCGAATACTTGCTCAATATCCGGTATCCGGTCGAATACTAGATTTAGTTCCTACACCGGATATAAATCACGGCTCTTGCTCTTTTGTAAAAAAAAACATTTTGCAGATACCTTGTTCCTCCACAAGAGCGAAGGAACAAGGTATCTACAAAAGATTTTTTAGTTCATGTAATTAATTTTGTAAGATTTTGAGAAGATTTAGAAAACTTGTACACAAATAGTAAATAACTAACTAACTAAGGCAGTAAGCGAAGTCTAATTCCTTGGTCATTTAGGATAATAAACCTAAGACCAAAGAAGAAGCTTGACGTGCTGAACAGATAATATGCCGTCTTCTCGTTTATACACTCGTTCATAAAAAAGTAAAATAAACGGTGTTAAAATAATAAGTAAAGTACTCTGCTTAAAGAAATTAGTAATCAATACTAATATTATAAAGTTGAAGAGTCTGTTTGTTTGTTTGGTTAAACAACGCGTGTTTAACCAAACAAAAAAATAGACTCTTCAACTTTCGATCTCAGGAACGAATTGAAAAAGTGCTGTGTGTCAGTGTTGGATAGCGCAATAGGCCATATAATTATATCTTACTACGACCAATAGAAACCTAGTGCAATGAAAAATATTCCTAAAATGTATTCGTTATGAGGGACGCACGAAGATGCGTGCGTTAGCTAGTGTAATATATATATCATATACCTTACATTCAATTGATTAACCAATTTACGCCATCCTTCACTTAATTCATGGAAGGAAATCAATTGCGGCGTTTAACTTACGAAACATATTCAGTATTTCAAAATATGATTCCTTCTATTTATTAAACTGAATCAAAGGCATCAGTGAAGTCGTTCCGTGCAAAATGTATTATTTTTATAGTGTTTTTTTATTTGTTACTGCTTGCCGAAGCGAGTCGCATTTGTTTCACAGATACAGCGGCAAGAAAGTTGAAGTTAGTCAAGCAAAGGAACTTCTATTAAGAAACGCCACTGAGTAAGATAATACATTAGTATTCATAACGGCAATATCTGGCAATTTCTTACAAGTTCCGTGGCATGAATAAAATAATTTGTACCGTGGTTTTGATTTTATTTTTAAATTCTTAAGTACACGTTTATTCGACAATTCTAATTTTTAAATGTTGTTTTAATTGTTTAAAAATTCCACCCTCCTTTTTTTGAAAGATCTATAAACATAATAAATATAGTAGGAGAATGGCACTATTATATATTATCAGTGAAATATAAATATCTTATTAATTAAGTCTAACAAGACTTACTATACCGTGTTATTGTTAAACATATGTACATATAATCGTTTCCTCATCAGGCGCATCGCTGTAGAATGGAATTATTTGTTATTAAGTCACTCGGATAATAACATTCTAAGCATCTTTAATGCATGAATTAATATATACAGTTTGTTTTATTCACAACTTCAGACCTCATTATCAAGCATGTTTTAAGTAAAAAGTAACAAAATTACCTACTGAATACATTTTTTTTACTGTTCATGGCTGTATAAAAAGCAGTGTATAAGTTTTTGTTTGTTATTTTTAAATCTATATTTGTCACGCGGCGCTGGAGTTTTGAACTACAAGTTAAGTTCGGAGTCAGCAGTTAACCGGTTTGTTGGAATCGCATCCAAAACTACATTGTAATCCACCACGAGTGATTTTCTTGCAACAGAACCGGGTATACCCGGCAGCCTTCGTCTCGTCCTGAAATGTATACAGAGAGCTACTACACCTTTTTTACATCTGAATAGGTATATAACACTATTTTATTTTATCGTAGAAAATGTACCATAAAAATAAAGCCTTGTACACCCCATGAAGGAAGCCGGATTGATGGCACGTGTAATAACTATAACTACCCTACGAGAGGCTCGGCGAGAGGTCCTTATCTCCGACTCCTCAAACCTGACTACGGTAACAGTAAGTCGGATTAATTAGTAACAGCTCATCGGGATCGTCGTGTTATATCAGGTCGTTTATCAATATTTTGTCATGTATGTACATAATCTCCTTTTTAATTAGATGACAGAATTATCCGGTGGATAGTACACCTTACTCTAGTATTTCTTACGTACGAATATAATGTAAATATGCATGTGTGTATATCTTTGCATGTATCTATAATGTGTGTATGTGAATATATATTATGAATATAGGTTTATGTGTGTGTCAACTGCGTTAATTTTTATTACGATTCGGTCAAAGCGGTCAAAGCCTATAGGGTAATCCGTATTTACCTGTAGTTCTGTACTGTAATCGCAATTAGCAATTAAAATTCTTCTAAACACGCACCGTGTTAGAAATGCAGTTTATTAATTAGTTTTCGATATACTCCACTGATTAATAAAAAAAAGTATCACACAATTATTAATTACGCCAATATGCTTAAATAATGTGGTTTGTTAATATAAACTATAAAGGTGCATGCATTATCTAAAGCGTTCTAAAGAAGTTCCTGTTACCAACATTAATATGTACTAATATTTACCAAATGAATTTACGTTTTAGATCATGGCATCCGCATGAATAGACATGGCGAGCCATTGCCGTCAGCACGCAAGGTTAGGACGGAATTACAGACCACTGGGCGAGTCGAAGATAGGCACAAATATAATGCAGCCGCCATTCACATGTTGAAATTTGTGCACAGAGATATCAGCATCATGAATGGACCGTGTAAGACATAATGTAGATACCAACTACTTTATTTGACACCTAGTAATAAAAGTGGTAATAGCGTAGATACTAACAGGTCGAATCGGTACCTTAAAATAAAAATATTACATTTATAATGGAGGATAAATTCATGCTGTACTTTAAAATGTTACTTTTAATTGACGGATTTGATTGATTTTAGTTGACTGCAATAATGGCGTAGTGGTTTACGTGTGGTTTACGTACGTACGACGAGTGTTATGGGTTCAAACCCCACATAGGACGACACTTTGTGTGATCCACACATTGTTCTTCTGAGTCTGGGTGTTCATTGTGTCCGTTTCATGTATATAAAGGTCGTCTTAGCCTTCTATACCACGCTGATCAGCCAAGTTGGTATAGGGTTTGTTTCATTCATCATGAATGTTGTTTCATTTTAATATATCTTTCAATTATACAATCGATTATTGCTTAAGGTTTCATGAAATATCATTCAATTATATAACATAAACAAATATAAAGAAACAGTTTCTTCATGTATATTATGTATGATTACACACGAAATCACAGTAGACAATACTGTACAAAGTAGCTACCGCCCTATATAAAACCCAAACTTATTTTGTTCTACGTTTTAAAATAATTAGTAAGATCATACAAATCTTCGGTTTCAGTGGATTATCTTAGACACAGGCAGTATTGTTGTACAGAGATTGGTCAATCAGACCCACGGTGTATCCCTATAAATGTACCAGAAGACGACCCATATCTCAAAGTGACTAATATACGCTGTCTCAACTTCTCTAGAACTGAAACTTTCCAAGACGCCAATTGTTCACCCGACATAATACTCCCCGAACAGGTAAGAACCGTTTAACTGCACAAGTTGTATTTAACAGTGGTACGTGCGAAAATTATCTTACTTTGAAGTTGGTTAACGTCAAAATTTCAATTTGAAGCGAGTGAATTTAATAGTGACTTTGTGGCCATGCCGATAGAATACTAACATCTAAAATAGCCTACCTGTCCTAAGATAGCCTTTTCAAGTGATTTTTTTTAATGTCAAAATAATCAGTAATTTATAAATTCTAATTATTCTTTCTTTAGCTACACGTTATTGCTATTCTAACCTTCTTATATGTAGTAAATGCTTGTGTTACAACCAACGGATGAGACACAAACTCTTTATACACATACATACGACTACATTCACTTCAATTATACAAACTAATCTTCAAAGCCACTGGATGCTATGGATCCAGTATGATATCATAACATTCACATTCTTCATATTCATCGCTATTTCTCAAAACGTAACCCCTCGAAGTACTGAAACTCACTTATTTTTGGTTGGCCGAAATGATGTTTTAATTAATTAAATTTGTAAGGCTGGTAAAAAATTTTTACAACAATTATTCGGAGTTCTGCTATTTTATTCCACATTTTCTGCCCGAAAGTGATATTTTCAGTTTTTAGCAAAGATGTTAAGTTGAAACGATTAATAAATTATTCGCTATTGCAGATTTGATTCTACTCAGATATAAACATATTTGTAAATATGGTAGTTGTAAAAATATGTGTGCTAAAAATAAAATAAAAACACTTACGAATAGGTGTACATATGAACATACATGCCGATAGTATGTCTTGGTTAAAAAATAAGTAGCAATTAAATTAGTAGCAAAAAGAATTAACTTTATTATTGTATATTAATATATTTAAGATGATGAGAGTTAAGAATATTAGTCTTCATCGACCTTAGTTCAGGATGTTTGTAGGTGTTAATGTACGCTACGGGGTGTTTGTGATAAGTCTGTTGGAAGAACTTGTCCATAGTGACAGTAACATTATAACTAAGTACTAAAACACAATTACGCTCGCGACAATACACCTACATGTTTTGACCTTTAGCTGTAAAAGAGTTTAAAACATAAAAACATTCTATGCGCAGTAATAATATTTAACGAAGAAGGGGAAACAACAAAATCAAAAGCGAAACATTAAGACAATTATATTATTGTCGAGTCTTTGTCTCGTTCCTTCCTTTGTCGTTTACTTTTCAAGACTTGTATAAAATGAGGACGTTATGTAAAAATATAATATAAATATTTTGTTTTGTTTTGATATGCTCTTTATAAAATATCTCTATTATCCTGCCACTTTATAAATAAGTGTAATTATGGCGTTCTATACAGATTATGTAATAACATTTAAAGTTGTTATATTATTTTATTTTAGCATCATACGCATGATATCGAGTAGGCTGGATTGTACGTATGTGAGTCGCTGCTGTGCTGTCTCTGTCGGGATCGCACAACGGTGACCCACATGCATTATTAAAATACTTGTAAGAACAAAAAAAACATTTAGCCCCTTTAAATAATGTTAATAATAATTTTAGTGTGAGTCCTGGTTACTTGATGAAATAAATGAATCAATATTATTATAGATGTGTATAAAATACGTCAGAAATATAAAAAAAAATGTTTACCATAAACGCGCTTTCAGAAACAAAATGGGTAACTAACGAAAACAAGTTATCTTGGTGACATTTTAGACTATTTAACACACTAAGCGGAATTTTAAAATCTAGAATAGTATTTAATTGCTTTGTCTTTACCGATGGAGTTACGAGAGTCCAGTAATAACTTCACAAACCTAATTAAGTTTGCTGTCGTATGAATAAAATGATATGTTTGTATATCTCTAGAAAATTGAAACTTACTCTTTTTTTTAAGTTTTTACCTTTTTACGAATTCCAATTATTTTTCAGATCAATTTTCAAACACCAGTGATAGATTTATCTACTATATATGGAGTAGATGAAGAAGCTCTTCATGGAGTGAGAAAATATGAATATGGCCTCCTCATAATGGAGAAAAGGCAAAATCGCTATGTGCCTAAAAATATAACACGTAACCAACTTAATCTAACATCTAACAATTTGTTAGATATGAAGAATAACTTAGTTTCTAAAATTGATACAGCCGACGACACAATAAGAAATACGGCTCCTAATATGCTTCCTAATTTGACACAAAATATAAACACAAATCAAGATGTAATAAATATGACTGCTGATATGCTAGCTGAAATGCTTGCGAACATAGCAACGAACCCTGTGGTTAATACTTCATCTGATGCAATATCAAATTTAGGAACTAATACAACAGAAAATATCTGTTTTCAGAATAACGACACTGAAACAATTTGTTATCAATTTGGTGAGTATTTTTTTAATATAACCAAATTATAAGTAATGTCTATTAAGAAGTCCTTTTTGAAGTTAGTCTGTTTTTTTTTTGAGAAACTGTAGGTTCACATTTTGCCTTATACGGATTTAATATAATATAACAGGAGAAAATTACTTATTTAAATGTCTTTAAGCCAATCATGTTTATGCAATCATTGAATTAAACAACTAATATTATACTAAAGACTGTTTGAGCATTTAGAAATGTGAATTTCATTTGAGACAGTACAGTGTATTTTATTCATGGTTTTAAATTATAGAAAATAAACAGATAGCCGTGTGCATTTTCGTGGGTAATTGTTGCTCAAAAGTGTTTTTCAACGAGAGCTTTGTATAAAGTTAATATGTTATGAAATAAAACCATATACTCTCCCATACATATTTATTTATTTACAGGCCTCTAAATCCTTACCATTATCGGCCGCCACGCGGCATAATTTATGTAAGACTTAACAAGGCATATCGTACACAAATATCATTGTTAGGAATATAAATAAGGTATAACTATATAAGTAGTCTTATATTCTTTTATTACAATCAAAAACAATAGGGATAACATACACCACTTTTGAATAATATGAACATTTCTGAAACAGTTCCCATGCTCTCAGTAACATAACTTAGTTTTCCAGATGTTTTTTGTTCTACATACTAAACAAAACAAAAATAACATTAACATTGCCTTATTACATTTAAAACTTTAAATTTCACCAACACACAAAATAATATCACAAAGAAATTCCAACACAGTCACTGCACGGAACGATTCGAAGACTGATGAAATGACAGAAGTTTTATGACGTATAATTCTTTTTTTTACTAGTGTTTGCATGCTCGAACTTTGTATTAATGTCAATAAAGTCTGAGCAACTGCTATGTGTTATAATGCCATTTGCCATGCATTTGATACTCTATTACTTACCAAGCTGGGCCAAAAAAGTGCCATTTCAAACTATTAACTACAATTTGACATCGCACATGTTTGAATGCTCCTGATCCATGGTAAAAAACTAAACAAGTAAATGTCCAACCAAATGTAGTAGCGTTAGAGTTGATTTTACCGGTGTTAAAGATGAAGCTTGTGTTCTATACGTTTTTTTTATCAAATATTTAAGACTAAATAAAACAATTTAGCTTCGTGATTGTTTTTGACGCATCTATATATAGTGAAGACTCAGGGATACTTGAAAGGAACTTATCATCAAATTTCTAATCAACAAAACAACCCAATTAAATAAATAGGATGTCATTAAGAATTCTGTTACTTATGGTTAGAGATTCCTTTAAAAGTGGATTTCTTGTTATTTCAAAACATTATTCTTACAGGATTTCCAGAAGTAGGTAATTTTGATTTACGAACAACGGCCTTAACAATATTTTTCATGAGAGAGCACAATAGGATTGCGAGAGCCTTACACCATATGAATCCTTGTTGGAGAGATGATCGCCTTTTTAAAGTAGCTCGCCAGATTAATATAGCGACGGTATCTAATATATTCATGTATGAGTTGCTACCCGCATTTTTAGGTAAGTTTCAAATCTAAGACTAAATTTAAATCAGCTTAAAATAATAAAATGAATGAAAGACAAAATGAGTTTTATAAATTTAGATGCAAACAACCTTAAAGAAAAATAAAAGTATCCAGCTGAATAATTTAGCGGATAAAGTTCTCATCAATGTTATTGATAAAAAAATTGAAGATTTTTCTACATGTTTGTCTTACTAAGTGCCTTTACTTAAACTTTTGGTGATTTGTAGGTTTAAGAAATATGGTCAACTATGAATTAATATCGGAACAAGTAGAGCACGTGTCTGCATACGCAGCTGATGCAATCCCTCTTGTTTATGCTGAATATGAAATTGCAAACCGATTCTTTCACACACTTTTAGATGGTAGAATTAAGTAAGTTTTTTTTATATATTTTCTTTCTTGTTGTTCTATCACATGTTAGGTCTTTTGGAAATTTAATTTGCCTATTTTAAAAATGCAAAGCGATCGTGTGTTGCGTTTCTCGAGGGAACAAAGGTGATTAGATGCACGTTAGTGTGTCAGTTAACGCACCTTGAACAAAGCGTTCATCATAAATAACAGAAAAATTTATATCGGAAAGTGGAAAAAAAAGTTAAAAAAAACCTCCTAAATTTTAAATATTTTTTTCAGGATGTACAAAGAAGATTATCGCTATAAGGATGAATATCCATACAGTGATACACTCTTTAGATCCGGTATTCTTGAAAAAGGCAAAATTTTAGAAGAAATCACTCGTGGACTATTTCAACAGAATGCCGCAAAACTTGACAATATCCAAGATCCAGAGGTTTGGTTTATTATTAATAATATATTATGTTTAAACTAACCCTATATTGATTCCGATGATTCACAAATAGGTTAGCCTAAAAATATTTAAAAATAAATATTGTTACGAACGGGGTATACAATAATTAAAAGTAGTCAGTTTTTTTCCTTTTTTGCACTGTATTTACAAACACTCTAGTTAGTCTATAACTTGTTAGTCGAACTAGTATATCGCTCCGATGTTAATTCGCCGTGTCATAAAACAATACTGTCCCGTACGGCTAACACGCGCCACTTTTATAGGGCTACCGAAATAACTAGAATGATCCCTAGTATTTGATGGACCGTTCCAGACAAATCAGAATTTTCCAGTAACAGTAATCTTCCGTCACCCTGATGGCGCTGCAAGTATCAGAATTATTAATCATAATCTCAACAGTTGTGCGTCACTTGATAGTAGATGATGAACTACATAATTCAAGAACTATTTAATCCTATGGTGCAAGAATATGTTGAATAAAAACTGACGTATTGAAATGTTATAATTATCAAAAAAATAGATTTCAGAAAATTTCTTCGGTAAGCACCTTCAAAAGGCTCATGACCTTGCGGCAATAGATATCCAAAGAGGTAGGGATATGGGAGTACGTGGGTATAATGACTATAGGCATATGTGTGGTATTAAACCGGCTCAAAAATTTGAAGATTTCTTTGATACCATGGAAGTTGAAGTAAGTTTAATTTCATTCAGTTTAAAATTTAAACTTCAAGTACATATTATTTTAGATAATAAATAGATCTATTTTAATATACTTTTATTACGTGGGACAAACTCGTAAGTAATAATTTATTATTATTTTTGTTAAGTGAATAATAGTTAAGAGCAGAACACCTCATATTTTTAACCCCCTACTTCCATTAAATCTTCTAGAAAGTGGAAGCACTCAAGAAACTATACGATGAAGTAGATGATGTGGATTTATTAGCCGGTATTATGTGCGAAAATAATATTCAAGGCATCGACGTTGGGCCTACGCTATTCTGTATCATGACTAAACAGCTCCAGCTGTTTAGGTTTTCTGATAGATTCTGGTTTGAGAGAGGCGACCAGATGCATAGTTTCAGTTTAGGTGAGTATTATTATAAATTGTATTATTTAAATAACAAAGTAAACTTCACACAAACACTAACTAAAATAAATTTTCGATAGGTCAATTACACGAAATCAGAAAGACCAACATGGCTCGCCTCGCCTGTGACAACGCTGACGGGATTAAATATATTCAACCACAAGCCTTCATGAATGTCAAACCTGGGTATGTTATTCTTTTTATTCAATACAAAATTTAGCTAATCTTTTTTGTATTAGCATAATCCAATAATAATAAGTTATACTGAAAAATGGTAATTACAGCTTTTCAAATAATTAAAATGTATATTACTTTAAAATGTAAGATGTCGACAAAATACACAAATTATCATAATTACAGAAATATGCCAGTTCCATGCAACCACATAGAAGGAGCAGATCTAACAAAATGGAGAGATGACAGTTGTTATAGGAATAAGCACAGTCATGAAGCGACACACAGACCAATGAGATATAAAGACAAACATTATCGCAAAACCTCAATGTTTTACGGAAATGGCAGACATGCTACAAAAGGATCTTCTAACTTCTTTGATAATGTCTGGTATAATAAACCTTCAGAAATATATACTTTTCATGAATCTACAAGATAAATTTTAGAGAACGGATCATAAAGTATAGAAGGAGCGCAATAATTGTCACACGTTTGAAGTTATTCATAAGCATTAATGACGTTCAAAGCCCTTCTTAACAGTTTCTTGTCCGTATATAGTGTTACTACTTAGTAGTACTAAGATGTAAGTATAAATTTAGGGACTGTAATGCAGTACTCAATATTATTGTATTACCTTTTTTATTGATATTATTGGTCGTCATTGTATTAAAGAAATTGTTCATGTTGCACACTTTATTTATTAATATAGAAAGAGAAAAGTTGATAGGTTTCTAATTCGATTGAAAACTTTCATATGTGAACAAAAAATCAACTTTTAATAAGAGTACATTGCTTCCTCATTTTGTTATTTTCCCGCATTATATCTACTTCAAACTCAAAATGTTTTTGATATTATTTTGCTCTAAATTAAATGGCCAGCGCTTGGACATTTGCCAACGGTACGATACATAAAAGTAGAAACTAAAATTTGTTTGGAAAATGTAGGGACGACATGTGTTTTACTTTGTTTGTATTAAAGATTACGAAAAACATTTAGATGTGTTTCGTTATGTATAATTGACATTTAATTGTTATTTGCTTAAATATTAAGAAATGAACCAAGCTATATTGATTATTGTGCATTAACCATGATTGTGTAGATTGCTGGGTTAGAAAACACATCTGCTACTGAGTTAGAAAAATCTAACGCATCGTTCAAAGTCTACATTGTTTTGAAATGTGCTATCTTTATTAAACAACTAGCTAGAATACGTTATCGCTATATTTTTCATTGTACTCGGCTCCTATTGGTCGAAGCATGATGTTATATAGCCTATATCCTTCCTTGATAAAAATGCTGTCCGTCACTAAAATAATTTTTCAAATCGTTCGATCGAGTACCTGAGATTACCCCGTACATACTAACTCACAAACTTTACCTCTTTACAATATTAGTATTGATAAAGAGTATTTGCTGTGAGTTTTAAAAAGCTACTACCAAAAATAACGAATTATCATATAAATTTCAAACCCGCATTTGGAACCCTTAGGGGTGGAATTTTTGAAAATACTTTCTTAGTGCATACCTAGGTAACATTTGTGCAAAAATTTCATGCTTCTACACCCAGCGGTTTCAGCTGTGCGTTGATAGATCAGTCAGTGTATCAGTCCGTCAGTTTCATCTTTTAGGTATAGATATATGTAGATGTATTAAAAACAGTTACAATGAGCATTTCACGAGGCAAGGCAGTAGAATTATTAATTTATTACCAACTTAAAAGAAACGAAGTTTCTCAATTCAATTGAATTTCGTATACTTATGTCTCATATAACACGATGTCTTCGTCATTTGTAAATAAATATGTTTGTTGTTAAATGCATTGAACTGCTTAAAGTCAAGGTTACCCCGATGTAAATTTGAAATTTTTTGGCTTAAATATTCTACCTCTGTGAATGGAATATTAGGAGTTGAATAAAGAACGGATTTTCCAGTAAACGTCAATGAAATGAACAAAAGATGAGTCTTAATACCTTATGCTAAGCACTTACATAATTATTACTAGCAATTATTGTTTTCAATAATAGTAAAGTTCAGTTCAATTAACGTGACTTCATTATTATTTACTCAGAGTACTTACGAATTGTAGACAGAGAAGATAATAATTATAGAAAGCTCAAAAACCTTGTATGAAAACTATTTTTCTAGTTTTTTATGCCGCAACTCTCTCCCGTTTAGCTTTGTTATTTTTAACTCTAAGTGCTTTTGCTAGCATTGAAAATGTGTTGTGGTTGATGCAGTCAGGGTTTTTGTACACTAAGATCTACTTATCTCAAATTTAAATTCACCGTGGCCTGGCCGTTTCTGGCAAGATGTAAACTTCAAGCGCTCGAAGACGAGTCATTGGCTACAGATTTCTATATGATTCTGTTTGTGCTGTTTTATGAAAATTTACTCATATCTACCGAAAAAGTCTGGATCATTTACTCTTTCGTCTTCACAGACAGATATTATTATGCGAAATTTGAAGAAGTAGAAAAACTTCAGAATGTAGACAGAGATAATTTACCACAAAAAACAGTGTGCGTCAGCAGCTAAAATAATCGCTATTCAGACGACTTACGCATGTGTAAAGGCATTACCAGATATTACTGATGTCTATATAGATAAGCGTACTCTAAATAATAACAAAATTAACGTGATGAGTCGATTCGAACATCAAAAATTTATGAGTAATTTGATAGGTATAGATGAAATGGAGGACAATTGAGAATGTATGTAATCGTCAACTAAATTAGTTGGCAAAAATGGGTATAATGATACCTTTTTTTATAGTGTGGAAACCTCAGGGCCGTCACCTTACCAGAGCTGAGGATGTCGTTTCGAGTTCGACATACTAGTACATATATGTCGAACTCGAAACGACTAAAAACCACACGGTATGCCGTCTCAGTATTGCAAAACACCCGTAATACCCTAACAGGTAAGCTACCAAGAACTTCTGCGAAACTTAGACCACATAATAAATAGGTGATTATACCGTGGAGTACGGGGACCCTAACCCGCCTCCAGATAAGACTCCATACTCCTTCCTCATAGGCCGGCAACGTGCTTGTGACTCCTGAGTTGCAGGCGTTTTTCACTTTCCATCAGGTGACCAGACTGCCGCTTTTCCCTCTGCCATTAATATGCAGTAGTCAGCCTGACCCTGCCCGACGTTTGATAATAGTTATAAATATTTAGGTATCATAATAAGCCTATCGTCGTCCACTACTAAACGAAGGCCTCCCTCAAGAGGTAGGTGTTTAGGTAAATATTAATTTAATTATTGGAATATCAAATATTTTCAATCTCTATTATAGCTTTAACATTTCTGATATCAAATTTAATTTTCCACTGGAATACAAATGAAAAACGGATGCCAGATGTTACTCGAGATATTGATAAAAAAACAATTTCAAAGATACAATTTTGTTTAGATGAATAAGCATTAAATATTGGAACGAATGTTCCTGAAATTAATCAAACACATGATTCAAGTAAAATGTTTTGATTCTATTTCAAATTAATACTATTTCGAATTACAAAAGTAATAAAAGCGGTTCTATTTGACTTACAAGATGATTTATTAGAAACGCTATGATATTATATTGATTATTTAAATGTAGTTATTATGTTTCAAATACTTTTGAAACACTTAGTCTGCATTTGAGGGCTTAGGCCTACTTTGCAGGCTTAGGCTTCAGGTAGCCCCCTTTTACTTGCTTACTCATTTATTTCATTCGCTTTAGTGGAAGTACTACTGCAGGGTGGCGGGAGTTCTCGAAAGATGGTAATGCACTTAAGCCTCTTGAGTCACAGGTGTGGTTTGGTAGGAAATAGTAATAAAACAACCATTAATTAAATAATAAAGAACACCTGCAATAAGGTTTGGAATTAGATCTCATAAAATAATGTATCTGTGTATTTAACACGTATTTCTATAACTGACTAATATGCCCAAGCAACAGAAATAATAAATACATGGACTGGACAGTGTAATACTTTAAACAAGGTGATGGATGAAAATCCATTTTTCAACATTGGCTTTGTGTAAAGTAAATACTCTACTTTACTTTATCAAACCTTAAACTAAAAGGTTCAAAAGTAATCCGGGATATCTTTTATATTATAAAATAAGTTTGAAAAAAAAGGTTAAAGTAGGTTGTGCAGTCTTCATTTATTCAACTGGGGAATTGAAGTAATTTCCAGACGCAAAATTAAAAAGAAACGAGCTTATCTTGGCGGGCCTTCGTCGCAATTACAGCATGGCTAAACAAGTTAGCTTTTTACGCCCGTTTCTTCTTTTTAGGGTCTCGTATTCCAAAGCTCATAAATAAAACCTGTTTTCTATTTGACAATAAAGTTTTAAACAACTAACTCACCTTAGTCGCGGGGACTTTATAAACGTACATGAAACGGACACAAACACCCAGACCTAGAACAACAATTTCTGGATCACAAAAAGTGTCGTCCCATGTGGGGATCGGACCCACAATACGTTTAATTACTATAATAATATTTAACCGCTTAAAGACCGCTTAAAAAACTTCGCCATCCGTGCAGTCAAACGCTCTCTTATTTTCTTAGTACTGCTATGTATCGCGTTCATATTGTTTTTTATGTGCCTTTGGTTTTGTTATATATTTTTTACAATGATAATGTATGCTATTCTGTAGTATTCATTGTTTTATCTAGTGGGAGTTATGCTTTGAGCTCGTCTGTGATTCAGTTGGCCTAAAAGTGTTTGTCCAAAATGCATTTGTATACATTATAATAGTGACTAACGAAACTGAGAGCTCTTATTGAGCTTGTCAAGAAAAGTAAGCAACTTTTTTCACAGACTCATTAACTGTAATGTTAATTTCAGTTCAAATAATTTCGGTCGTGCAACTAATCTATATAATAATATATATAAAACAAAATACCTTTCTATATAACAACAAATGTAATGTACACCACTAATGTAATGTGTGCCGAGATTTCTACAATTACATGAACAACTGTGTAAACTTACTGTCTAAACCTGATTTACCCTTGAAATATTTTTTTGAAAGGTCAAGTTTATCAAGTTAATTTTGCTTCGTACAACTTTTGTTATAAATACATATCAAAGTTATGGCGTATTTTGTGTTTTTTTTGTTAGCGCGTTGTTATTTGGATTGCTATTGAAAAATTGTTTCTTGTAAAATAAATTCATAAAAGTTGAAACTTTTATTAAAATTATTTATTATTGCAGACATCCGATATTAAGAAAATGTATCCATTTTTGCATTTGCATCTGTTTTCAAACGCTTGATTTTGTTTCACCAGTACTTTTTTGTAACGACTAGAGCATAACAAACTTTATTGCCTATATAACGAATAAGATTGAGTCAGTGCTGATGTTATTTTATAACAATTTGTATTTCAATTCTATAGGAAAAGTCTATTTAATATCATCACGCCGAATTTACACAGCT